TCTCCACTCCCAATAACTCATACTGCAGCTGGGGAACAAGACCGGTTGTCTCCATTCCCATGAATTCCCAACACTTCTCTCCAAGGGTTGTGAAGTCCATTAAGTTTCCATTCGCTGGAACCTAAGGCTGTGCCGTCTCGAATAGTCGCTTGTAGTCAAGCTCCCACTCCAGGGTAGCCAGGTGGGTCAGATCAAGCTGTAGTTCCGCTATCTCGGCAAGGTCCAAGAGGTCTTCCCGGTCATCTTGGATGTACTAGAAGGGGAACAGTCGGGAGAGGCACAGAGCAATACATTTAACATTTCACTTAGCTCTACTTTACAGAGCTACTCTCCCTTCCCTCCCCCTCCTTCCTCCCCCCCTCCTTCCTCCCTCCCACCAACCCGCCCCCCGTTTGTTGAGCCATAGCTGCATATACAGGCACAATACATGAAAGGCATAGAAATACATGGGGAAATGCACATAATATAAAGAGGGAAATTCACAAACAAGCAGTGGGCATGGTATTCAATGACAGCGGTCCGCCACAATCACTAATCAAAAAAATTGATAAGCACTATGGTGCCACTCGTATAAGGAAGCTACAAATCCTTCATTATATTCCAGAAAAAGAAATAAATATCTGGGTACACATAGGAAGATATAGAATTTATTTTGAGTGAGACAGGCAACGTTTCGGCTCACAGGAGCCTGTCTCTATGGTGGCTTGATATTTATTTCTTATTCTGAAATATCACAGCAGTTGACTGTCCCTGGACTGGATTTCAAGTTAGTTTTATGTCTATTTTTTCTATGTTTATTAATTAATTAATGTATTTATTTATTTACAGGAAACCCAGTAATCTAAACACTAATATCACTTTAACTGAACATTTGATTGTTCCTTTATAATAATGACTGGCAATGAGTGAAATATAATTGAAGATACAGTCATGCAATGTGTGTAGCGAAATGGAGTCGTGGAATGAACTTTTATTACTGTTGTTCATTTGTCCTTATACCCCCTTGTTCATTTACCAAACCAACTCTGTGTGGTCCCCTTGTTCACACTCAATCACCAACCACCCCTGTCTATTAACCACAAACGAGTAATTAGCTCAAGTGATTTTGTGTGGCCGCCGTTCATATAACCGAACACACGTGCTCCAAGAATTGGCGACCATTTTTGTCTCCTGAACTCAGGTAGAGATACTTGGTCGTTGAGTGTGTGGAACTGTTTGTTGGCTACGTGACCCCGCAAACACCCTGGAAACTTGTACCACTGCTCCTCCAACTTCCCGAACAGTTAGGAGAATGGCATTTGGAAGGGATGCACTACCGAACAGGGGAAGCATTGGCTCCCTAGCAGCCAGGGGGAGCATTTGTCGTTATTTGTATGAGAACATAGTCATTGTGAGGAAAAGAGACAAGAGGAAAAGTAGAGTATAGGAGCAAGCTATCGAAAGCAGAGATCAGTGGGGAGAAAAATGCAGTGAGCGTCCTTGTGGCAACTTGGTTTGCCTCCCGAAAGTTCCCGAAGAACCACTGTTGACCCTCCTATCATGGCCATAAAAGCCTGTATATTTTGATGAAATATTTATTTTGTGTTAAGACACTCCTGGCATAAATGAGTGAAACCGCCGTTTAGTAGATCTTCCCCCTTTTAGAGACACAGGCACCGTTGCTGTAGACCGCCAAACTCCCGAACGGAATACAAGGGAATGCTCCAAACTCCCGAACAGAGAATCATGCGAACTCCTTCTCTCCAAGAACAGGCGAAAGAATACTCCAAAGTAGCAATCCCCCAAACACGAGACCCAGCTCCGTCTTGAGGGTTAAACAGGAATCTGATTTATTGAGGGCTACCTGCTCGGTATTTATGAAGGTCTCCCACCTGGTGGACACTCCCCTAGGGGACTAGATGGAAGACTGGGGCAAGTATGACACATTAGCCAATCACAGTGGCTCAGGCATAAACCCTCCCCTTGGTACAAGCAAACCCCTCCTCTCTATCCTGGAGATAATTGAGAAGAAATCCAATTATATCCATGGATAGACTCAAAACACCATTTTAAATGATACAGTAAAAATACATAAAATTCCATAACTGTAAAACTACCAAATGTATTCAGTACATATAACGTATCCCCAGATAGCCGAGATCTGAGCGCACATTATTACCGAATGGCGCTCAGATCCAATACACACAGTTCAATTGCCATGGAGCCAAAGTCTTTCACACTGTTCCTTCGGTATACGAAGGGCTCCATGGGATGGCTACCTGGGTTAAGTCCATTCGTGAAATAAAAGTCCCGAACGGACCGGTGTTCATATGCCGAATGACAAAGAATGGAGGTCGGCGGTTTCAGCGGTGTTCATGAGAAAAAGTGTCCGTTTTGAGTTCCATAGGTTTGTCGACGAACACCGCTGTGTATTCGTGCATCTAAGATGGCTGCCGTCTCGTGGTCGACCACCCAGCATACGGTTTCAATTAAGAGGTGTCTGCGGTTAACCACAACGTTCGAATTGTGGCCAATAGGTTAACCAGCAGCACACTCCTCTTCTGGGTGGCCGGCCGTTCGGGAGTTTGTTCGGTAGATTAACAAATAAACAAACGGGGAAGTACGGACAGGCAATTACACAAATCCACCAGGAAAGCACTATAGTTCCAAGACAGAGGGATCTGTCCTAGATTTTTTTTACATTGGTTATATGGAAATATTTGTAATGGGATCACAGGAGAAAGTTAGTTTTTTAACATATATTTGTTAATTGATTAATTATATGCAGAATTATTAAATTCCGAATAATAGCGAATTAAAATCAAAATGGAAACACTTGTGCTGGGAATATCCAGATCAACCTTTCTTTTAATATATATTGCCTTTTTGTATTTTAATCCGCTTGAATTTAGGTTTTACTAAACAGCCTAGTTGGTGTACATTGCATATATTATAATTTTTTTATTTATTTATATTTTGCTGTTTTTAGTAGCAATTTTCAAGAAAATTACCTCTTAACTTAAAGAACGTTTATAAAATATAGGATTTCTTAAAGGACCATTTCATTTTTTTTTTCACTATTTAGTAAATATACCTCCAAAGAGAAAATGCTTGCAGTTTTTATTTTCATGTTTTGTTTGGTGGTATACAAAAAACAGCTTGTGAAAGTCGCAGACTTCATATCTGCAGCATTTGCCAGCTCTCACCTTTGTACCTGGCACAGACTTAAAATTAAGAAGCCCCCTGCCGGAACCACATACTCAAATATCTAAGAGCACACAAGTGCGTTTTCTAATGTTTCGTAATGAACTGTAGTACAGCACATTGAGACGGAGGGATGGCAGGCATGCTGTAGACCAGTGTGACTGCCACTTTTCTTAGTTCTGGGACACTAATGGCAGAGACAAACCTAGTCCCTGGCAAGTTGTGTATTAGGACCCCTTTTTCTGCTATTGATTGTGATTTGAGATTATCATTGTAACGGCACCCTCAGCATAAAAGGGTTAAACCGCCGTTTAGTAGATCTTCCCTTCCAGAGACACAGGCACAGCTACTACAGAACACCAATCCGCCGAACAGGAAACCATATGAATGCCGTAAACAGCCGAATAGGAAAAACCATACGAATAGGTTTACACTCCTAGCAGTCGAACTGGAACAGCATACAATAAATCTCCCCAAGAACGAGACAAAGCTCCGTGTTGAGGGTCAAGCAGTGAACAGACAGAGCTGTGGGTTTATTGTTCTTATATACACATTAGTACCACCCACAGGGTTTTGGAAAACAACCAATAAACACATACAATACACTCAGACACTCCCACACAAAATCCTCCCATCTGCCTGTGATACAATTACCTTACACAATGGGTAATGTAATTATCACAAGCAGAGAAATACAATTTTTCCACATTATTCATAACTTGAAAAGTATGCATCACATTCACATAAAACTTACATTTTCAGAATCAGCATACTCCAAATACAAACATATGTCAAAATCATCATTGGTCCAGTGGTTCAAAAGATAGATCGTAGTCCTTTGTGACCAAAGGAAGCATAGCTTTTCTGCCCAAATCCAGTTCCACAGAGTCTTCTATCCTGGAGATAATTGGGAAGTAATCCAATTATCTCCAAGGACAGAGGCAAAACTCCATTGAACACATGGCAGCAAAAGACAATAAAACACAAAAACATAACTGTGCAGCCATTGCACAAAACAGGTACATTCAACATATCCCCAGATAGCTCAGATCTGAGCGCACATTATTACTGAATGGCGCTCAGAGCACACACATACAGTTCAATTGCCATGGAGCCAAAGTCTTTCCCATAGTCTTTCATTATACGAATGGGCTCCACGGCATAGCTATCTGGGGTATCACCACTCAAACAGGGCCAGCACCGAATGACCTGGCTTTCGTGTCTTCGCAGGGGAAAATCAAGCGTTTGAACATGGGGCCATAGTCTAAAGGCAGCAGGCGGGCAACCAGGCTTCTCCAATGCAATGTGGTGAGATTGGTCTCATCACAATCATCACTGCTATTGGACTTTTTTATATTATTTTTGTTATATCTTTCCAGCATCTTTTTACATTTACTTGGCGCAACCTTTCTCTATTTACATGATAATTTAAAGGTCTAACTCCATGCCAATGTTATCTTGCCAAATGAATTCCTAGCTCCGACTTCTACCTAACAGAATAGCCATCAACGCAGCCACAGCACAGTTCAATAAACTGGTTTAGATTTAGGTTCACTGATTAATGATAGAATATTGTTATAGTAACATCCCAAAATAACTTCAGGGTAGCAAATCTCTTGTTATTAAAGAAATGACTCACCGAAGGGATATTACTAGAAAAATAACACAGTGACAATGTACATTAATTTATGAATAAAAGAACATTTCAACTAATGATATTCACCCTGCCCCTTTTCTAAACAAGTGATATAATACAATGTGTCAAATGTGAATTTTAATTAAGATAAATGGGCAGGGATCCTATTGGCTCCCAAAATTATCGATCAATAAAAAAAGGGCTTCAAAAATCGTATAAAAGCAACACATATAGTCAGAGCTGACAGATCCATAGCTGACAGCATTCCTGCTCGTATAAGCCAACTGGACAAGAAATCAAACATGTCTGGAGTCAAAGGTGGAGGTGGAGGTGGTGGATGTGGTGGTGGTGGTAGTGGTGGTGGAGGAGGACAGCAAACAGGTCAATACAAAGATATTGATGGTAAGTTGTAGCTAATGTCTTAATTGAATTATTTCAAAGTAAAGTTTGTTGTATTTGATTTTAAACACTATCGTGTTCATTATGCAATGTTCAAGGTGCAATGTTTCATTGAATTAAGAGAAATACTGAATGTAACCCCGTAATTTTTCATGGTTTGTATCAAGGCTTGCAATGCTCCACAAATCTGAATACGAGCATCTCAGGAGTACATGTGTGCAAATTTGCTGTCTTATGTCTGGAAAATAATGCTAAAAAGACTAGTGGTCCTTCTTTGGTGTATATAGCATGCTAACTATGTAAAGTAACTGCATTGGTTGGGGTCAAATAATGTAACACTTGAAAAAATCTAATAAGTTGGTATTTTGCTTTCCAGTTTAAAAGGTATTACATTTTACAATTTAATTTTGAAGAATTATGATTAAAATATTAATAAACTAAAATATGCATTTTATTAAATTGCTTGATTGCAAATATATATTCTTCAGTGAAAACGTTTTGTACAGACAACATTGAAAATGTGACTGTTTATTATTTGTTTAAAAAAATAAAATGTATATGCAAAGTAGGTGAAAACACAAGATTTTATAAGATTTTATAAAAAAATAATATATGTTGGTCTGTTGCAATAATCATACACAATCAAATGAAAACAAAAAATACATTTACGTCTATAAAAACAATATAACGTGTAGAATTTGCAGAGTTCTGTGCTGCATTCAGTCATTGTTTTTCTTTTTTTTTGTGTGACAGTTAATCAATGCTCCCAGCCGTGCATAGACCCGATACCTGGCAACAAAGGCAACGGTATGCAAAAACATTAATGTTTTATTATGATGTAACAGCTGTACTGTAATTGAAAAAAAATGAATATAAAGGTAAAATTCGAGCTGGTTTAGCTATCATCGTTTATAATATGTCAATGGTGTAAACTGTGACAACTATCTCTGCAAACTTTACAACAATAGGATGCAACAGGAGAATCTAGCTAACACTTTAGCTGCACAGAAAGTCCTGTTATAATAAGGTTGTTCTCAATAAAAAAAATGTCATCAATGGTTAATATCTCATTTTCAACATGCACAGTAGCATACACAGCTCAATCTGTACAGAGCTGTTGATGAGCAACCAGTGGTAACAGATTTACCGAGGGCTATGCACACTTATCAAGACATATTTGTACTGTATCCAGTAATATTCCTTGAAAAAAACTGACGTAAGATTTGCCAGGCAACTGTACTTACTGTATGTGGACATTCATAAACTATCAGCAATTAATAACTGTGCCATCCTGACTGTGATTTAATTAGTCATTACTGATGAGGACTGAACAGACATAACAAAACAGTATTGGTTAAATATCGATGTGTTTGCTTAATCCTGATATATCAAGCCAGAGGCTTTAAACATTGAAGGCATTATTTATTGTAGCTGTTGATTGTTACTGTATACTTTGTCAGTATAGTTATAATATGATATATTCCTTGCATTCATTGACTTTATCTACTAGATTTAAAAAAAAAATTAAGGACAGCTTGCTATATATTTTCAGGTAAAACTATCTGTTGCACGAAACTTTGAGAAAGTATTTTTTCAAGTGAATGCAACTTCTAATAGATCAATCTGTACAACCTTTACCAAACAGAAGTAAGAAATCAAATAATCAAATAAGTAAGAAACCAAAATGTACTTTTTTTGTTTTAGATGGGTCTGGTCATTGTGCACAAACTCAGGGCAGCGGAAGTTATGGAGTCAGTGGAGGTTACTGCGGTCAAGGTGGTCAGATTCAAGGTGGAGGAGGCACGAAGAAGTGAAGATCCAAAATGAAAATAAATAAACCAAGCAAGCATTTGGACATACACTACATTGCTAATTATTTTCTGTAACGCTGTTCTAATTGTATTCTGATTGCTACTTACTGCAAAATACAAGTAACTGATCAGATTTAAAATAAATTAATTAATTTAAGCATAAACGTTCAGTCTCGGTGTATATTTTAGTACATTCCAAATTTTGAGGCAGTGAATCTTGACCAAAAGCATCATGTGACAATAAGAAGCAGAAGTCTAACAGTTGGGGTGTGAAATTACTGGTTGGGCTCAAAGAGTACTTGTAGCACAGAAAGTAATTTTATTAAAATTGATGAATGGCAAAAAAGACTCAATATATAACATAGTTACACAGACAATTACTTTTATCATTGATACAGTACTACAAAGAATCTGCTTACCAATCAGTATAGCGTTACAAACATGGTAGATGGATCATATGATGGGTTGATTCTCACGCCCAATTTTTAGCTTAGGCGGGGTTTGGCCACTCAAAGTTATTGAGCAGCAAATTATCAAGAAGACTATTCTATTTGTGTCACTTTATTCTCTATGTTTTTACTGCACTATTTATATGAAGAGACATCCATGAAAAAGACACAATAATTCAGCCACACGCAGAATCACACAGAATTTTGAGGGTGACTTGGGTAAACGTTCCACATCAGTCCTGAGAAAGTGATTGATGACTAACCCCTTTGTATGTCGGATACTGCGATCTGTAATTAAGATCTTAGTACAGATTAACAATCATGTTGTAACAACCTGGTATGTTTGCAGAGGCAGCTGGAAACCATCAATAAACAGAGCCTGGACTATTTATTAAAAGGCACATTGAACAGATGGAATGAACACGGCACATGTAATAAACTCTCCAACACAGCCTTCTAAGGAGATGTATACATTATGATTGAACAATTGGGTGATCAATACACACTTACATAGTAATCTCGGTTGAAAAAAGACTCAAGTCTGTCGACTTTTAAAACGTATCTTTTTATACCATTGATCCAAAAGGAGGCAAGAATAAATTAACAATGTAAAGCCATGGCCAATTATGTCATAGAAAGGAAAAAGCTAATCTTTCCGGACTCCATAATGGCAACCTACATACATGTTAATTATAGTCTTGAATATTTCATTTTTTTCCAAAAAATCAGTGAGGTTTTTAAAAAATAAATACAGAATTTGATATGACATCCTTTTTAGGAAGAGGATTCCACATCTTTATTGCCCTTACTGTAAAGAACCCTTTACTCAGCTGTAAGTCAAAAACACATTCCTTTCAGTCTCAATGGATGATTTCTTGACTGTTGTACATTCACGCTAAGGAGCAGGCTATAACTTAGTATTTTGGACTGACCCTATATGTATAGTATTTGTACAGAATTAAATAATGACACACGCATGCAGATGGCCATGTCTATGTACAGATGTGTCCTATGTGCAAAGAAAAATCTTTTCGGTTAGAATATGCTCCCACCTCCCATGGATCAGAGGAGAAATGTGTAGTGGACAACATGTGTAAAATAAGGCATTCCACCAAAGGGACTGAAGTTCCATAAAAATCTAAACTTCCACTGGGCTGACCATGAATTAATTTCAGTTTAAAAAAAAAAAATCTAAAGTTTTTAGTTTTTGTCCAATTCCAATGATAAATAACATCATAGATAAGAGAAGAGTATCCTAAAGAGTTTAAATGCACACAAATGACACAATGCATAATCAATCAAATACATTATCTGGATTGAAGGCTTTATGGAATTATCTGAGAAGACAATGAGCTATTTCACCTACAGAACTGCAATACTGTATGATGTATGTTTACCATTTATAGTTGAAATTTTCAAATGATGAAAGTAAATAAAGAAAGAAGTAGAGATGATGGGAGCAAGCTGGATCCTACACTACATGCCAGGGCTACATGGTCCGCTGCCAGCCTTAAGGGTCAAAAACTGACACTCAGTTAGACCGATTCTCCATAAAAATTCACCCTTCCATTCACACACCTGTTCTGCGGATTAGCAGAAAACCACATTCACATTCACTGACACTACTAACAAATAACCACTTAATTTACATATATTGATCATACACGCAAATACTCTTTTACCTTTGCAAATTCACACACACCAACACTGCACATAAATTCCCCCCTGCTTTTATATTCACGCAGTACATGAAACTGTAACACACTCAGAAGTACCCAAGCATTCACACATAGTAACACCGCATACAAATGCACATATGCATCTACACAGGCAATATATGTATTCAGAAATGCATGTGTTTACACTGATTTGTCAAATACAAATGTACCTTATACACAAGCATGGACTGTTATTTAAAAGTTATATGCAACATTTGTTTTAAGCAAGGACGTTAGCCTTCAAGGAGCTCTGATTATGATCATTCTATAACTGTGCATTTTAAAAGATCAAATTTACATTTTTACATTTTATTGTACCATTTTGTCACCTATTGTATAATTATTTATGCTATAGTTAATAAAAAAATCTCAACTTTTCTGATAATAAATGTAAACATTTAAACATATGAACCTTGTTACAAGTTATTGTAAAATCACATGCAGTTCATCTGGTTGTGGATGAGTTCAGTACGCGAGATCTAAACCATTCTTACTAAAATAGGCCATAAAAGGGATAAAGTAAAACAGGAGCACTATTTATTGATGAGTCATATAAACTATGGTTTTTATGATGCATAAGTATAGCTTCAAGGGACACACCCGGTGTTAAATGTAGAGTCTTCCAATTTCAATTAATATCAAACCAAAGATATTTTACTAAATTATATACATTTAGATTGCCATTAAATATGGAGATATTAACATAATGTAGCCAATGGAACATCATCATTATGCAACCATGAGTATATAAAATAAAATAAAACGTCTTCATCTAGAGCAGTCACACGGAACATCTCTCCAGTGTATTTTATTTACGAAGTAGACTTCATCAAACTAAAGAGAACATCATGTCTGGGTCTAAAAGTGGTCAACAGGGACAAGACAGCCAGCAAGGCCAATATGGTCATCATGGAGGCCAACATGGTCATCATGGAGGCCAACATGGTCATCATGGGGAACAAGACCAGCAAGGACACCATGGCTGTAAGTATATGCATTTTGCAAATCCTTGTATATATAATATATAGAGCTACAGTTTACAATCCATGCAACCAGTTTTTAATATTTGGTTTTGATAAGTCCTTATCAGATAAACATTATAATATGCAGACAATAGAAAGGAGGATATATCATTTGTTTATATATAATTAATTTATTGATTTAACAGTAAATTAGCAAACTCCATTGCTGCAGATATGGCAGAAGAAATATAGAAAATCAGTTATTGTTTTCACAATGTATTTTATGCTTTATATATCAATCAGAAGGAGATTCATTATTTGGCGTAATATTTAGTCTCGTTTTCTTTGCTTCAGTAGGTAGTGGTGGACAGCAATGCCAGGATCAGAGTTCCACTGGAGGTCCAAAATCAGGTAACTGAACAAGTTACAAATATTAAACATTGATGTGAATCATTTGAGTATTGACTGTTTTTCTTTCAAACTGTGATTTAAATAACGTGAGTTTAATGTGCATTTTATGGAAATAGTTTTTATATAATTACCTTTAAAACTTGGGCACTGTCTGCTGGTAACCTCTTTTTATGGGCTACATCAGAAACATACAAATGAATATAATCAGCAAAGTAAAGTGTGTGATGTGATACATACGAAACACTCCCACTAAAACAGATGTATGTTTTCCTTGATTCAGGTGGTGCTGGTGGACAGCAGTGTCAAGATCAAAGCTCATATGGTGGACGAGAATCAGGTAAATGGATACATGGATTTCAGTATTAACAAAAACATGCTTATAAAAATATACCAAAATGTAAAAATAAATATATATATATATATTTGTTTCTCTGTTTACTTAAAGGGGGCAAAGGAGGACAGTGCCAAGATCAAAGCTCCTGTGGTGGCCAGAAATCAGGTAAAACAAGTGAATAATTATACTGAAATAAAGTTACAAAATAATAATTGTAATCTAATAGTGAAATAAACGGTCAAGTTAAGAGAGTACTCAGTGGATTCAGACATACTTTGAACTTCGAGCTATATTTAAAGGTTCTTCTCAAGTTTCTGAGTTAGCCAGAGATTAAAACATGCAAAAATTTACATTTTATTGTAAAGGACAACCTGTTGTGAGGTTACAACACACTGGAGTGACTTACAACACTCATAGCAAGCAGACAAGGATTATGGGACCAAGGAGTCCTAGGCAGATCACTAGTTTGGGGCCCCACATTTATTTTTCACATATGGGTGGTTAATTGAGCCAAGCAAATTCATGGTTGTGAGGCCTCAGTGTAATTCTTGTGGGCTAGGATGTCACTTAAGGCCATGTTATGGTTAATCCTATTCTGATAACTAGTAGGATGTCACATGCATTAACTAAGGTTTCCTAAATATGATCTATTGGCCTAAATGATGATTCAAATGCTTAGAAAATGTCAGAATCATTAGCTTGTGGTTATCATTCGTCCCTATTTTCGTCCCTATTTTCTCCATTCAGGTGGCAGTGGTGGGCAGGGCCAGGATCAAAGCTCCTGTGGTGGTCAGAAATCAGGTAGAATTCATCACCAATATCTATATTTATATCTATATCTATATTTCAATATTTGGTTTTATCATATTGTAATAATGTGGACATATTTCATGAGATATATATATAGTTTCTAGTGTGTGAGCTCTTTCTACATAAGGCTTTTCAGGCAAAACATTGTATTTAGTTGGTCATCAATCTGTCTTTTAAATTTTTATATTCTTTATCATGCATTGAAATCATTCCCTCTCTCTCTACGTCAGGTGGTGACTCTGGGAAGCAGTGCGGGGACGTAGGATCCTGCGGTGGGAATAAATCAGGTAAACACATACGTATATTAATAGAATACATGATGTTTAAATTTATCTTTTAATACCATTTGCACATGGTAATAATGATAATAATGCCCAGTGGTGTAAGTGCCAATGTATTTTTAACAGTGTAAAACATACTGCGAATAGAAGTACAAAACTACATTTTTATTCTGGTCCAAGTTAAAGGATCACTATAGTTTCAGGAAAATAAACTCATTTGGCCGAAACGATCGTGCAGAGGGAACTTGCTGGCATTTCGTATCTGGACTACCCATACGGGTGGGATCAGTCTTATATGCTTAAGATATGTTTTCTCTATAATGGCACAAGTGAGCAAAAAACTATTTTAAGACCTGAGTGGGGATGGACTGCAGGGCAAGCTATCGAGTATCTCTAAGCTTTTGTCCGTTCTCAGAGTTCTCAGCCTTTCTTCTTTTTTCATGTTATGGTTAATCCTCCTCTAATAACTAGTATGATGCTACATGCATTAACTAAGGTTTCCTAGATATGATCCATTGATCTAAATGATGATTAGCATGCTTAGAAAATTTTAGAATCGTTAGCTAATGCTTATCATTCCGTCCCTAAATTTGGCAAAGCTTAGGACCGTAAGTAGATCAACAGACACTTTAGTTTGCCATTTTGTTTTTTGTTTTTTAGTATTAATATTGATATATAGTGACTATATATTATATCTCTCTTCAGGGGGTAACGATGGGCAGTGTCAAGATTCAGGCTATGGTGGTCAAAAATCTGGTAAAAACATGACTAACTGTATTTTAACATAGAAAATAATACATTGTATCTATTTCAAAACAAACATCTGAAGCCAAAAATACATAATGTGAGAACGTTTTCTCAAAAAGGGTCAAGTACACCGGAGAAAAAAACAAATGATATACAGCAATGGCTAAATGCTCTGAAATTACTGAGATTTAATTGGATCATTTAGTAAATAGCAAACTCACCAAGCACTCTCTTAACGAGCAGATATCAACAATTGTTTTGTTATCTATTTTCTCCATTCAGGTGGCAGTGGTGGGCAGGGCCAGGATCAAAGCTCCTGTGGTGGTCAGAAATCAGGTAGAATTCATCACCAATATCTATATTTCAATATTTGGTTTTATCATATTGTAATAATGTGGACATATTTCATGAGATATATATATATAGTTTCTAGTGTGTGAGCTCTTTCTACATAAGGCTTTTCAGGCAAAACATTGTATTTAGTTGGTCATCAATCTGTCTTTTACATTTTTATATTCTTTATCATGCATTGAAATCATTCCCTCTCTCTCTACGTCAGGTGGTGACTCTGGGAAGCAGTGCGGGGACGTAGGATCCTGCGGTGGGAATAAATCAGGTAAACACATACGTATATTAATAGAATACATGATGTTTAAGTTTATCTTTTAATACCATTTGCACATGGTAATAATGATAATAATGCCCAGTGGTGTAAGTGCCAATGTATTTTTACCAGTGTAAAACATACTGCGAATAGAAGTACAAAACTACATTTTTATTCTGGTCCAAGTTAAAGGATCACTATAGTTTCAGGAAAATAAACTCATTTTCCTGGCACTATACAGTCCTTAGGTTCCCCCTACCCTCAGGGCCCGCCTCCCGCTGGGCTGAAGGGGTTAAAACCCCTTCAGCCACTTACCTTAATCCAGCGCCAGGCTCCCACAGCACTGGTGACCTCTCCTCCTCCTCCGATGTCAGCTCCCGAGTGGTGACGTTCTGCATGCTCAATGCGATTTTCACATTGAGCGTCGGGGAAGTGCCTCTAGCGGCTGTCAGGAAGACAGCCATTAGAGGCTGGATTAACCCTGCAATGTAAACATAGCAGTTTCTCTGAAACAGATAAGACAGATGCTGCAGGATTAAACCTGTGGGACCTGGCACTCTGACCACTTCATTGAGCTGAAGTGATCTGGGTGACTATAGTGAATCTTTATCTTTGAAAGAGACGTGAATTTTTACGATCGATGTATTTATTTTAACTGTTTTATCAAATATTAGTGAAAAGGCTTTATTTTTGCCACAGTCTGTACATATAATGTATAAACAGTGAATTTTACTTTCAAACCAGATTTTCAATAATTTTGTTCACTCTAATGTGAAAGAAGTATATTTCACTGTATTGTATTTTAGCAAGAGTTTATCAAAACCTCAAAATGTACACATTTAAACCTAACATTATTAATAGTGTTTATCCAGCATCTGTCTCATCTGTTTTTTTCTTCTAGATGGCCAGAACCAGGGAAAAGGCCCTGGCAGTAAGAAGTGAGAAAAGGGATGTTTCTGTCACAACTCCATACCGTATACCGCTTGTTGCTGCTATAACTTTATACAATAAAATGCACTATACTGTCTGAGCAATGCAATCTGTGGCTATGTAGTGATTTATTATAACTCTTCTCGACACGCTATTTATTCCTTTATCTACTTGTTATATTTTATTTTACGTGGAACCAGAACAGGGTGACCACATGCACCCTGGATTTCCTATTCAGACTTTTTATTTTCCATAGCTTTTTTTTTTCCTTTTGTTCTCTTTTTCCCATTAAACCCCGTAATACGTCTTACCCATTTCTCTCCTTTAAATAAAAACAATAAAATAAAAATAAGCCCCTATTTTTCAATAAATTTTTTTAGAGAGAATAAAAATAAATAAAAATAATAACATTCAAATGCCTTCTGTGATCTTCATGCTCCACAAGTTGATGACAGTTTCAGATACACCCCTCTTTCACCAGGAAGCGTCTCCACCAATCAGGAGTTTCTCATTTTGGTCTTTGCTGACATTATCCTATCCATGTCCAGCAACAATTTATACACAGTCATTTCTACAGTTTGATGAGTAATTGGAGAACTGATGTCCATGGATGCACACATTAGTCATGGGAAAAATAAAGTACACCCTTTTTGAATTCTGTGTTTTTACATATCGGGACATAATAGCAATCATCTGTTCCTTAGCATGTCTTAAAAATAGGTAAATGCAATCTCAAATGAATAACAACATATGACACATCACACCATGTTATAATTTAACAAAAATAAAGGTAAAATGTACACCTCATGATTCAATAGTTTGAAGAACCACCTTTAGCAGCAATAACTTGAAGTTATCGGTTTCTGTATGACTTTATGAGTCTCTCACATCCTTGTGGAGGAATTTTGGTCCACTCTTCTTTGCAACATTGCTTCATTTTATTGAGGTTTGCTGGCATTTTTTTTTGCACAGCTCTCGTAAGGTCCTGCCACAGCATTTCAATCGTGTTGAGGTCTAGACTTTAACAGGGCTGTTGCAACACCTTGATTCTTTTCTTTTTCAGCCATTCTGTTGTAGATTTGCTGGTGTGCTTGGGATTATTGTCCTGAGCTTTAGCTGTCAGGCAGAGGTGGCCTCACCTTTGACTCTAGAATACCTTGGTATACAGAGGAGTTCATGGTTGACTCAATGACTGCAAGGTTCCAAGGTCCTGTGGCTGCAAAACAAGCCCAAACCATCACCCCTCTCTCACCGTGCTTGACAGTTGGTATTAGGTGTTTGTACTAATATGCTGTTTTTAGTTTTTGCCAAACATGGCGATGTGCATTATGGCCAAAATCACAACTCTGGTGATGACTGCCCAAAGGACATTGTTTCAGAACTCTTGTGGTTTGTTTAGATGCAACTTTACAAACCTAAGCCTGCTGTCGTGTTCTTTTTAGAGAGAAGAACTTTCTCCTTGCAACTATTCCATACAAGACATACTTGTTTAGTCTTTTTCTAATTGTATTGTCATGAACTTTAACATTTAACATGATAACTGTGGCTTGAAGAGTTTGAAATGTAACTCTTGTCTTTTGTGTAAATTCTCTGAGCATTGCATGGTTTGACCTTGGGGTCAATTTGCTGGGACATACATTTCTGGACAGATTGACAAGTGCCTTGAATATTTTCCACTTTTGAATAATTTTTCTCACTGTAGAATGATGGACTTTACATTATTTTAAAGTAGCTGATGTATTTTCTCCTTGCATTGTGTTGACCTGAAAGTCATTCACAGAGATAGGATGGGGTTCTAGGTAATCTCTATACCACACACCTTTCATTAAATATGCTTAAAGTAAGCCTTTTTCCAGTTATTTCTTCCCCGGAATTTAAATATATATATATATATATATATATATATATATATATATATATATATATATATAAAGCAGAGATTCATGCATTCTACACTAGGCCATCTAGTATGGTGAATGGAAAACTGAAAAGGGTAACTGAAGAGCTTGGATGCAATAGCATATAGGGTGTCCATGACAGATGACCTTATAGACACAATGCTTTATAGCTTAAAGGTGCACTGTAGGCACAAATAGCTTTAGCTTCCCGGGGTGGTTTTGGTGAATAGATCAAGCCCCTGCAGTCTCTCTTCTCAATTCTGCATCACCTGTATATCTCAAGTCAGACTTTGAGAAGTAATTCTTGAGCATAGAAACTCAAGTAAACATGTTTTCACAAATATCCCAGAGTTCTCAGCTAGACATGCAAATGAGCACATACAAGCATCTTGATTCTGACTTTATACTGCATTTCTGCTGACACACTTAATAATGGACACAGGTTTAAACCCAGGTTTTTTTTAAACCATAGCATTGGATTTGATCCAAAAATATAAGTGACAAGAAACCAGTCCATGGACTGCAGTTTCAACCTTGTGGGTCTCATCAGCATGACCCTGGTTTCAGTCTGGATGTTTCACAGAACTCTCCCCGGAGAACTCTCTGTGACAGCATGGAGATATGTACCAAATAGATAATGCTTAGACCAAATATGATACAACTACCCAAAGTGCAAATATTAGTAAATTACTGTTATCCATCACCTGCCTATCTCAAGCTGGACTTTAAGGAGTCAACTTAAGCACAGTAACTGGAGAAATTATGTTTCCACAACTATGTTTGTATTTGCACTGTGGGGAGTTTTGTCATGTTTGGTCTCATGCACTGTTCCCTCTAAAGTGTGCACTTGTGCACACGTATACACATTTTTTTGAGTGAGTGCACACATTTGTGCACAGATTCAATGGCCTGTCACAGGGGACCCAAGAGGCGGCCTCCTTAGGGCAGCCCCAAAGCAGGCACTTATTGAAGAATACAGAGCAGGCACATGCTTACCACAGATGGCAGATGCTTACGCTGCTGATATATACCAGGGAGGGAGGAAGGAGGAGGCAGACAACAGGGGCAGCGATGAAGCGCTGATGATGTGTTTCTTGTTCCTCTCAGATTCCTTATGTGCCCTCTGTGGTGATGCCATCTTACCTTCCAAACACCACAGGTTTCCAGTGCCAAAGGAGGCAAAGCAGCCCCAGAGCATATTCGAACTATCACCATGCTTAACTGTAGGTAGAGTGTTTTTCAATGCATGCTTCATTCTTGTTCCTCCAGACATACCACTGATCCATTGTGCTGAAAAGTTACAGTTTCTTTTCATTGCTCTACGGAACAGAATCTTGAAACGTATGTGTCTTATTTCTATGATTTTAAACATTTTGGAGCAGACTTTGTGCGCGCTGTTAGGTCAGTAGTGGTGGATGTAATGGAGTTCTGGCATGGAAACCTTCTGAGTTTAGTATGCCCCTTACTGTGCTCACTGAAATCTCAGTGCCTGATGCTACTGTGCCTGTGCTTGTTGACACCAAGTCTTGCTGCAGGTCTTCTGTCTTTTTAGAAATCTGGTTTCAGCCATTGATAGCTTTCGTTTAAAG